GCCACGCGGCTCAGCCATCTGCGGTCCTCAGAGTGTCCAGGCTGCAGGGAAAGGCCCTCCCGAATTAGATTTCACTCGGCTTATTACTGCCTCTTGCTCACAGGCTTAACGAGAAACAAAAGTCATGGGATAAAAGAGTCGCAGGCAATAAAATGTTAACTAAATTTATACAGCAGAGAGCTTGAAATTTTCCCTCCATATCAGCAAAACTGAAATCCACCCTGGAAACAGGAATTGCTATAAATGGCTTCAGACCTGAGCGCGGGGACCTTTTTATATTCAGGATGTAGCCTATTCCAGAGAAAGCACACACCAGCAGGCATTTAAAGGGCTAGAAGTGCATCCTCGCGGCTGCTAGCTGGGGGCAGCTAATCATAGCTTCCAACACAGTGACTCGTGAACCTTGCAGGGTAGACGCTCTCGTTCCTTTGCAGTGATGGCAAAACGGTGTCTCCCCAGGCAAAAGGCTCACCGGAGGCCACTCAGAAACCGAACAGTAGCACTCCTGGTACTTCTGTATCTGAAAAATCATAGGGGGTTGAATAACTGGACAATTCCAAAACATGATGGTTAAGAAAGAGGCTCCGGTCATCTCTGGGAGCCCCAAAGTTGTCTCCTGTAGCCCGACTGTCACCTGGTTCTGCTTGTTCTCCTGAGTAGTGATGGTACAGAGTATTGAACCAGGGAGCACTGAACTCCATCCCCAGGCCTTTTCTGTTTTTGATTTTGAGACACGGTCTCACTAAGTCACTAAGTTGTTCAGGCTGGACTCAAACCTGTGATCCTCCTGCCTCAGCCTCAAAAGTAGCTGTGATTACAGGCGTGAGCCACTGTGCCTAGCCTGGTTGGTTTTATCATAGTAACTGACTCCGGATTTTCATTAACATCAAAGAAGCAACAGGTTTTCCCATTTCTCAAAGGGCAGCAGGGGATCCTGTCCAATTTGGAACTCAGTAGCTCAGCAGGACACGTTCATGGGGAACCTTACCCTTATCTGAAGCAGGCTTGTCAGCCCCATGATGACAAGCAGAAAAGAGTTGTTAGCATTTAGCATGGCTGTCATTTGTGTAGAAATTGGGCCCTTCTAATAAATGGGCTTAGACATGTGAGTGTGCTTCTAAGCCCTGGCCTGTCCTGGTCAGGCTCATACAGCAATGCTGGGTGAAGGACACTCTGTTCCCAAGCTCGGGGTGCTCCATCCCAGCCTGAGAGGAAGCCCCCTGGTATGGCCTGCATTGTGTCCCATGAGGGATGCACAGTGGAGCTGTGGCTGCCCTGCCACCCTGTCCCCTGGGCTACCCTGTCCCTGACAACCAGAGGCTGCCCCACCCATGGCTCAAGATCCCTGAAGAGCTGTGACCCAGTGCTCAGTGCAGGTTGGGCAAGGAATCCCAGCTGGCCATCAGATTGCCGCTTCCTGATCTCAGCATGGGCATGGGGACCCCAGGACATCACGGCAGCACAGCCATCAGCTCACTGGGCCCAGGTGCCAAGACGCCCAGTGCTGGCCACAGCCCTGATGGCCCTCCCAGAATAACCACCAGTCTTGTTTTTGGTGCCGGTTGAAGAATTAGTCGGGATCCTGTTATGACTTAGAGCTACACTGTCACCCAAAAGTCTCACGTTCGGAAGTAAGGCCTGGTTGAAGATGTCCCTGGGTGTGACCGGGAAGGGCGTGGCCTTGCCTCTGGTTCCTTCCTGCTCTCTCTCTGCTTCCCGGCCACTGTGTGTTGAGCAGGTTTGCTCCATCAGGCTCTTCGACCATGCAGTCTCTGCTTTGGAGCCAGCTGACCGTGGACCGAACCCTCTGAAACCAGAGCGAAATAAACCTCTTCTTCAAGTTGTGGATGCAGGATATTTTGTCCCAGCAACACAAAAGCTAATACGGACTCATAGCTGCAAATCCAAGAAATGAACCTCCAACAAGCTTCACCAAAAAAGCCACTGGGAACCCTTCTCACGGCTTTGGTCTTATCTTTGGTGGACAGGTCTTTGCAATATGTAGAAGTTGGGGTCTCAGAGGAGGCACAGCTTGACCCCAGGCTCAGAGGAAAAACTCTCAGGAAGAACTGGGGTTGGCTTTGGATGGCCCCACACTTTTCTCTATCCCCTCCCTCTGGGAGGGATGGAGGACTCTGAGGGGCCAAGCTACAGCCCTCACCACCCACAGGCCAGCAAATAGGGCCACCTCACTGTGGAGGGACATGTTGGTTCTACAAAGGAAGTGACACCTCACAAATGTCCCTTGGTCACTACAGTTTCCAGCACAGGGCCCTGAACCAGCTGCTGCTCAACTGTCGACAGGGGAGTAGGGGTCAGGGGGAATCAGGGAGACAGAGTTATCAAGGATGGGGGCTGGACAACTGGACTGGGAGAAGGGCTGGCCTCAGGGAAGCGGACAGATGGCCTCTGGCCCCTGGGTACCCAGAGAAGACCCAGCTCAGCCTGAGGGTATCGGAGAGGTAGGTGGTGAGTGACATTGTCAGGAACACGGTGTCCAGGTTGCCATCCTCAGTGACAAACAAGAATCCTGCAGATGACCAAAGAGCCACGTCCCTCCACATAGGAGCTGCATGGGGAATGTGGCTTTGCCATCCTCAGTGCAACCTCGGATGGAGGTGCAGGTGTGACCGGGACAGACTATGAGACCTGGTTGTAATGGGGTCTGCAGAGAGGTCTGGGCCCCACTTTCCCCCCAAAGAACTTCGGCCAACTCTGGTTCTACCTGGTCCAAACATCTGTCCACAGATGTTTCCTCCACCCTCGGACAGTATCACCAACAGCTGGCAAAGACAGCTGGGCACGATGCCTGGAGAAGATGCCCCCCACTCCTGCCGCTCTGAGCATCACAATGCCTCCCGTGGGCACCTCAGACTCTGGGCACCTCCACTGCCTCTGCCCTTCACCCAGAGGAAGAGTGGCGGCCACCACCCCGAGCCCCCAGGACCCCAACCTCCTCACACCCATCCCACACTCCCCTGCTGCGGCCGCATGGCGCCCACTGGGTGCTCCACAGGGACCAGGGCTCCACCCTAAAGGGACTTCCTGGGCTCCGTGATGCTGGGGTCCCTGCCACTGCGGGAAGCTGGGGGTGTCTGCCTGTCTGGTTCCCCTCTGCTCACCGTTCCCCAGGGACAAGCTGAAACATGAAGATGCCTGGAGCTGGCACGGAGACCTCGGCAGAAGGAACAGCTTGGTACCTCGAGCCCCACCTCCGTGAGAAAGGGTGATGTTTTGCTGAAGAACTTCGCATTTTTATTTTTAGAATGTTGTATTAGGCTATTATTTATCTCCACTGCTGTTGATTTGGGGAGCCCCTTTAAATTTTGCACACAAGGCAAGCACCTCACCTGCTACCAGACGCTGGCCCTGCAGGATCATTTAGGTAGAAGTCCTCAGCGCTTGTGTGCAAAGCTGCTAAAGCAGCTCACCCCCGCACACTGGGCAGCGCTTGCCACCGCCCAAAGTGGACCAGAGATGCAGAGAACTTTTCCACGGCTGTGGGTCCAAATTCCTCTCTCTCAGGGGAGAAACCGAGGCACTGCAAGGTCCATGGCGAGCTGAGCCCCTGCAGTGGTTCTGGGAACAAACTTTGCCTGGTGGTGAGGGCCTCCCAGGATAGGTGTCTGCCCTTCCCCAGACCCGTTTGACACTTGCTAAGTCTGAGGAACCAGCTCCGACCTCTGCTGGCGCTGGCTGGCTTCTGGAGCAAGGAAGCCAGCCCGGGCCGAGGGATGGTAAATTCCACAGGGAAGGAGCCCTGCGACTCCGGATTCGAAGCCAGGCCTGCGGGTGGGGTGCGAGGCGGGCAGGAGGAACCCCTCTGTGTCCCTGTCCACCCCTGAAGTTTGCAGGCTGTGACTTCAGTGTGGCGTCAGAGACCACCCCAGGAAGGAGGAGGGGGTCACAGAGAGGGCAGAGGCGGGGTACAGGGGCAGCCGGCCCCTCCTTTGCCCTGGTGATAGAGATAAATTCAAGAATGAAAATAATCTCTGGCTTCCTAAGGAAGGCTGTTGCTCTTTGAGCACGTCTGTGACGCCCACCCAGGGCTACCGGTGAAACGTGTCCTTGTGTTCCAGCCCAGTGACGGCCCTCGAGGGGCGCCGTTGACTCCGGGTCCACTTACATGGGACGAGACCGAGGCTGGGACAGGTGAGGTAACTTCTCCAGCGTCTCACGACAACACCTGCGGCCTGGACTCCAGCCCAGGATGTCCAGATTAGCAGACGCCCTTGTCACTGTGGGGGTGCTAACTCCACGGGGGGATCCCGTCCTCTGCTCCAAGAGGACCCCATGATCTGTGCCAGAAGTCATAGGAGAGCCCCCAAGTTGCCCCCACAAGCTGCAGCCCTCCAGCCCCCACCTCCCTCACTCCCGAAAGGTCCTCACCCCCCTCCAGCCCCAAACTCACCCACCCATGGGCTCCCAGGCCCTCCTTTCTCTGCTGCTGTGCCTCCTGCACACCAGGTCCCGGGGGACAGCCAGGGGACTGGGTCTGCGCCCCAGCTTGCGCTCGTGCCAGAAAGAAGTCAGGCCAAAGAGGATGGAACCCATCTTCTCGCTGCCCACCCACGCATGACTCCTGCAGAGCGCTGTGCATTTTTGGGTGGAAAGAGCAGGGCTTAAATACTTTTGATGGGACAGGGCTGGAGCGGCTTGAACCGTGCTCTGGCTGGGACCCTCTGCCATCCGTCAGGAGCCGCCGGCAAGAGTCTGCAGCCCAGCACAGCCAAGGGCGCCCCAGCCGGAATGCACGCAGGTTCCGGCCAGGCCATGGGAGAAGCCGCCTTCCCCACAAGGGCCTGTTTCCTGCCCCAAACAGGTGGAAAATCTGCTAAGCTCAAAAGGTCAAACCTAGTTTAATTTTATACCCTTTTTGTTAAGAATGTTCCCTTAAAAAAAAAAAAAAACACTCATGTTTCTTTCCAACTTTTCAAAAGTTAATTCATGTGGAAGGGAAAAAAAGATTAGGATAAAATTTCAAATATTAAATTCAAATGCAGGATTAATGACTTTTATTTCGAAGCCCAAGAGGTTGTCTGGAATTCAGGACATTTTTGGAGCCGTCGACACCAGACATAACCAGATGCGGCTGGGTTTTGGACCAAGTCAGCACAAATCCAGCACCTTGAAATCCATATCCACGTCTGTCTTCATACAAACAGTCGCCCCTTGGACGAAGCTCTGCCCGGGATGAATTCAGAGCCATCGCACCGGCTGGAAGGCAGAGACTAAACACTTGTGAAATGTAAGTGGAAGAAGCCCACGCCCGCCAGGCTTTATTCAACGTCCCCTTTGGATGGGGGGCCCCTCCTCCCATCCCACGCTCTGTAAATACACACACGCACACACACACACATGCACACACGCACACACGCACACACGCACACACGCACACACGCACACACGCACACGCACACACACACTGCCCTGAGGTCTGAGCGAAACGGGCTCTGTGAGTGAAGGAGGAATTTTTGGCCGCCCACAGCCCCCCTGGAGTCACTGATGCCCTTGACCCTGAGAAGTACCACAGCCCCACACGAAGCCCAGCCCGCTCATTTTCCCAGCCCAGGGTGGCTCGGATTACTTAGGGAAGTCCTGAGTGATAATCTCAGTCCGCTCAGGAGCCTTGAGCAGTGACCCCTGGCCTGCAACCTCAGCACAACCAGGGGACACAGATGGGGAAGTCGGCAGGCTAAGTGCAGTGTTACAGACACCTCGAAGAAAGAACCCACAGCCCAGTGTGTCTCAAGAACACCCCAGCAAAAGAGGAGCCCAGGCCAAAGCTGCCTAGCCCTTGGCTTTGTAAATAAAGTTTTATTGAGACACAGCCACAGTCTTCTCCCTGCCCACCCAGAGGCCCCTCCCACCCCACCCCGTGCAGGAGGAGGGGCCCAGCGCCTTGGCCTGGTGTCCGGCCCACAGGATGACAGGCTACTGCAGGACCCACTGTGGAGCAGGAGCTGGCCGGGCCAGGCTGGCCAGCAGTGGATTCCCACAAGCGGCCTGGCAGCAGGGCCTGACGACAGGGGCAGGAGGCCACCGCAGGGGAAGCCTGCACTGTGTCCTGTGCTCCCCCTGCTCAGGGTCACTGAAGCTGGCACTGGCCAGCGCTCCTGGAGCCGCAGGCCTTCAATCTGTCAGCATGCCCCAGGAAAGGGTGCCACCGAAATGCTGTCCTTGTCCCTTTTATTACCCAGACAAGACCTAACCTGGAAACCTTGTTGGCCCAAACAGCAAGACTGGCCAGCAGAGCCCACTGGGATCCGGCCCTGCCACAGGCTGGGGGGCCTGAGAGCGGGGAGCACAGGGTCGGCGAGGCCAGGTCCTGGCAGGGTGGACAGCAGGGATGGGCAGGGCAGGCCGGGGGCAACGCCCTCCCTGACAGCTTTCCGGCACTCACTTGCTCCATGCACATCGCCAGGGCAACCAGGTCACCGGCATCCCGGGCCTGTGACATCACCACGGGGGCAGGGCCACTCGCTCTGGACCCCAGAACCAGGAAGTCCCCCGGCTTCCAGCGGTAAGGGCCTGTGACCTTGGGCCAGTGCTCAGGCTGGGTTCCAGGGGCCATCGGGGAGCAGGCGCTTGCCCCACCCTGAGCAATGTGCAGGCCTGGCCTGGTCCCCTCCCGTGAGAGCAGCGCCTCTGGACACAGTCCATCCCTGCAAGCACACAAGGGAGCCACCACTTGCTCCATGCACATCGCCTCCCAGGCCTCCTGGTGACAGAGGAGCCCTGCCCTTTTGGGTGGTACCGAGGAGAGGACATAATTATTATTATTATTATTATTATTATTATTATTATTATTATTATTATTTTGTCTTTTGAGACAGGGTCTCACTATGCAGTTCAGGCTGGCCTTGAGCTCACTTTGTAGGCCAGGCTGGTCTCAAACTCACAACCATCCTCCTGCCTCAGCCTCCTGAGTGCTGGGATTATAGGTGTGCACTACTACACCCAGCAAGGACATAATTATTAAAAGGGTATCAGCAGCCGGCTCTCCCTAAAATCCTTCCCCACTCCAGGACTGGCCTCCTGGGCTGGAGCTTCACCCTGGCCCTGCTCAGAGATCCTGCCCTTGCACCGCGGCCACCCACTGGCTGGGTCCATACCCTGGGCCTCTGAGGTCAGGCGGTGTTGGGCCCAGAGCCCACAGCATCACAGGAGCAGGGCCACATCTGCTGTCCCCATGACAGTGGTGACGGCGCAAGTCCTCCTGACTCCAGCATCAGAATCGAAACCAAGCACCCTAAGGACCTGGGCCCTCGGGCAGAAGCTGGGGGAAACAGCAAGAGCTGCAGGGCCCAAGGGTGAACCCAGAGGGTGGGACCCCCCCCCACAGCGCAGCCGAGGGCATAGGCAGAGCGTGCTGGTGGTGTCGGCCGTCAGTGGGACAGTGTGGAGGCAGGCAGAGGACTTGCCCCTGAGGTCGGCTCCACTGAAAGGACAAGATGTCATTGACTGGATGCCTGGGATCAGCTGGAGGTGGGGAGGGGCAGCGACCAGGTACGGCTTTGCCACCCGGGCGCTGGGCAGCCCCCGCTCGGTCACCCACAGATGGTGCGTGCTTCCAGGACCGCAGCCCACACAGGACCTCGTCCCGGGGAGGGGGCGAGGCCTCCCACAGCTCCCCCGCTTCCCCTTTCTGCAGGAGGACCCTTCCCAAGTGGCTGCAGGCTAGGGCAGCACAGCGGCGCGGTAGAGAGCCTGGCAGGTCCCCCACCTGTCCGGTCCTCATGCCAGGGACACCGCCTGAGGGAAGACCCGGCTGTGCCTTGCTTTGAGCAGGTTCTGCTGCCTGACGATGTCAGCGTGCCCGCCGTGACCTCGAAGGCTACTGCAGGCAGGGCATGCCCCCAGCACGGCCGCAGTGGCCTTGGCTGGGCTGGGTAAAGTGAGCGGTCACCTGGCCACCGCGTCCCCACAGTCCTGGAGATGGGGCCGGAAGTCAGACAGCCAGGAGCAACCCTGACTCACACAGCGACCTCGATCTCCAGCTGGACAGCAGTGCCTAAGCCAAGGTCCCTGTGGCACCTGCCTGGCAGAAACCGAGGCCCAGCAGCCCAGGCAGTGCAGGGGCCAAACTGGGTTTTCTCACCTAACGCTTGGGTTCCACTTCAAACACGGCCAGGCTCTTCCATCTTGGAAGTGGTCAGGCCCATTCCCGTGCGCCAGCAGCTCACACTGTGTCTGCACCGAGCCCCTGGGAGGAGGGGCAGGGAGAGGGGTCCCTTTCTCACCCGTGTGGCTCCTCACAGCTGCAAAGGAGGCTGGGAAGGCACCCCCAACCCAGTGTGCCAACTAAGCATTCTTTACCAGGGAAGGGAGGGGTGGAGGCTGGCACCTCCCACGGCATCTCCCGACTTCCGTGCCAACTTCCACCTCTCTGAACAGGACAAGCTCTCCCCCATGCTGTCCCCTGTGCCCGAGACACCGCTCCTCCGCTGGCCAACAGCTGGCACTCCACGCACCCCAGGCCCGCACGGGCTCCCCTCACTTCAGCCGCGCCTCGCAGGTTTTGTGATGATGCTTTGCACGGCCGTGTGACCGACGGCTGCTTCCCAAGGCCCCCTGGGTCTGCTCCCAGGCTGTCACCGCCATCAGGAGCTCTCAATGAATAAATGCCTGGTTCCCCATCTGTCCTGAATCAAGATCATGGCCAGGGCTGACGGAGACCCCTGCCCGGGTGCAAGCTGGCCTGCTCTGACCTGTGGCCCCATCCTTACTCTACAGCCAGGACACAGGGGCCAGAGCTCGTCTCAGCAGCCACTGGGTGACACCAGGCGGTGCCCCTTCCGCTGGGAGCCCCATCCGTTGGCTGCACAGCCTGCCAAGGACACTGTCATCAGGCCCGGCGCCCTCCTGTCCTTGTCACCGGCCTCTCCCGTGTCACTCTCTGTCCGGGAAGACATATTCTCCACAGAAGTTCATGAAGGCCCCAAGACAGAGCCACAGTTCACGGCCGGTGCCCTGGGATGTGGCGGAGGCTGGACCGGGCTGTGCCCGAGGACCACCCGGGCAGCCTTGGCAACAGCTACTCCCAATGCGGAGCCCAGGGCTAGCCTGGCGCACACACAGGCCCTCCCGTGGTGACGCCAGGACTGAGGGTCCTGGCCACCTGCTTGCACCCCCAGCCGTGTGACTCCCAGCCTTTCACTTGGCCTCGCAGGCCTCAGTTTCCCCCTCTGTGAGCTGGGAATGCTGTTACCTCAGAGAGCAGAAGACGCTTCGAGGGACACAGCAGCGTCTGAGGCCCTGGCGTGGTGTCACCAGGCCACAGGGGCCGAGGTCAGCATCCAGAGTAGCAGAGACGGCTCCTCCTGAGGCCTCGGTCCTTGGCTCCCAGGTGACATCTCCAGCTGTCCCCGCACACGGCCGTGACTCCGCGAGCCCTCAACCCTCGCCTAAGCTCCCAGTGCTCCCGAACCCGGCCCCAAATCACCTGCTGAGGGACCCTGCCTCCGCACGCAGTCACACCCTGAGGTCCTGGGGTCAGGATCTCAACACCTGAGCTCTCGGGGACAAAACTCAGCCTGCGATGCCGCACACCTGTCGGAAGGGCTTCCGGTGCACGGCATCTGTCCGGTCACAGGGCCGCCTCCCGCATGGCACGGCCTCCCGCCAGGCCACTGGCTCCGTGAGGGTTAATGGAAAGGGCTGCGGGCCGTGGATTTACTGCCCTGCTGCACGTTATCATCTCACCCTGCGGAGGGCTCACATTTCCCACTTAATTACTTGTCCTGCAATCAGAAGGGATGGCCAGTTTCTGGGTTGTGCTGGCTGCAGCTGTGAACTGTTTATTTACTTTTCCTCAGCCCGGGAATGGCTGTAATTTAAAGGTTCAGATCTCAGCTACCCTGGCTGGTGCAAACCCCGCTTAAACACTTCCATATTGCTGCAGTGGAATGTCACCGGGCGCCGCCCGCCTCCCCCTGGCATCTCTGGGCAGCGGGGGAGGGGACGCTGGCCATCCCGCCCGGCTGAACCTCCCAGCCCCAGAGAGCAGGAGGAGAGGCCGCCAGCCAGTAACGGGTGAGTGTGCTGGGACTGGGATGGCCAGCGCCCCCTCCGAATACAAACCTGTCCCGCCACAGTTCAAGCCCCAGCGCTCCCTAATTCCTGCACCAAATGGTGTAATTACCACTTAAGTTGTCAAATGGCATCCAGATGGTCTTACCTTTCACACCAGCGGTTTAATAAGCTTTTAGGCGTGACCTGGGCAGCTTGTCCTCCACCTGCGCAGGCCCCGATCTGTGAAATCCGAGCCCACAATTAGATCTGATAATGACAGCGAGGCGCCCAGCCTTGAACTCTGCATGCTGCTCCCAGGGGTGCCCCTGGAGTCACCCCACGCCACTGACAAACGGTATGCATCCCTCCACAAACGGAGGGGCCCCGCACACAGCCGGAGGCCACCGCGGAGATCACAGGCCCGAGGCCCGAGGCCGGAGGCCCAGGGCACAGCAAGCTCAGGCTGAGTCAGGAAGGGAATTCCGGGAAAGCAGCCTCCAACCTGATCGAGTCCTCCAAGATGGCGGCCGGGGACAAGCTCCCGGCCCCGGTCACCCTCGACTGTGTCACCACATACCTCCGAGGTGAAGCTCCCAGTGAGAGGGAGAAGACCTCCACGCCAAAGGGTCCCCACCGCCTGCTTTGGAAAGTCAGGTCTGCTTCTCTCTGGTTCTCAGGTTCTCCCTGGGTTGGGGCCGGCTAACATGCACCAGGCACCATTCCTGGGGTTCACACGTACCCACCTAGAACCATGACCCACGTGTTGTGCATACCCCCATTTGCAGACTGGAAGACTGTGGCACAGAGAGGCCAGGCGACTGTCCCACAGCCACACAGCTAGTACGTAGTGGGGATGACATTCAAAACTAAGGAAGAAGTCACATGTGACAAATGTGTTTATACATGTGTGACCCAGTTTGGATTAAAAAATAATAGCTTAATTAAAAACTTACTGACACGCATGTAGGCATAACGTGGCAGGCCAAGCACATGAACCAACACTGCAGCTTGTGCCAGGGTTTGGAAAAGCCTTCCGGGGGGCGGCCTGCGTCCCCAGCAACAGGTGAGAGCAGGTAGCAGAGAAAGGAGCAGAGAGGCGCTGCCTCCTGCGTGGCGGGAATCAAGGGTGATGGGCCACAGTGGGGAGCAGAGATCTCAGGGGTACCCTGCTGCCAACCTTGGCCAGCACTCAACCCGGCTGGAGCAGCACTGACCAGAGGGCTACAGGGAGGCCCAGCCGGGGAAACGCAGCGCCCTTGTCCCACCTTTCCTTCAGGGGTCGGAATTCCATTTTTCTGGCCATCTTGAGGAGCCCAGGTTTGATGGTCTCATTGAAGACCTACTCCTAAGGTTCTTAGTAATTCTTACTAAGATGCTAATGACTGATACACACTCGGGGAG